GAAAGGGGGGCGTGGCCAGGGAAAATGGGCTGGGTCAGGGGAAAGGGGCGGGGTTTATAGAAAGGGGCGGGGCTTGAGGGGAAGGGGCGTGGTCAGGGAAAAGGGGGCGGGGCCAGGGTAAAGGGGGCGAGGCCAGGGAAAATCGGTGTCAGTAAAAAGGGGCGTGGTCACGGGAAAGGGGCGGGGCCAGGGAAAAGGGGGCGGGGCCCTGGAAAGGGGGCGTGGTTAGAAACGAGTGGGCGGGGTCAGAGGAAAGGGGGCGTGGCCAGGGAAAACCGGTGTCAGTAAAAAGGGGGCGGGGCCATGAGAAAGGGGCGGAGACTGTGAAAATGGGCGTGGCTAGGGAAAAGGGGCGGGGCCATGGGAAAGGGGCGTGGCCCTGGAAAGGGGGCGGGGTTTAGAGAAAGGGGGCGGGGCCAGGAAAATGGGCGGGGCCAGGGAAAACGGGGTCAGTAAAAAGGGGCGGGGTTTAGATAAAGGGGGCGGGGCCAACAACCAGAGGGCGGGGTCAGAACCCAGGGGTCACCCATGGGTCACTCAGGGGTCACTCAGGGGTCACCCAGGGGTCACTCAGGGTCACCCAGGGGTCACTCAGGGGTCACCCAGGGGTCACTCAGGGTCACCCAGGGGTCACCCAGGGGTCACTCAGGGTCACCCAGGGGTCACCCAGGGGTCACTCAGGGGTCACCCAGGGGTCACTCAGGGGTCACTCAGGGGTCACTCATTGAGGTCACTCAGGGGTCACTCAGGGGTCACTCAGGGGTCACTCAGGGTCACTCAGGGGTCACCCAGGGGACACTCAGGGTCACTCAGGGGTCACTCAGGGGTCATTGGTCACTCAGGGGTCACGCAGGGGTCAGGGGTCAGGGGTCACCCAGGCCGGGCTCTCTCAGCAGCTCCCTCGGGGGGCGGCGCCGAATTCGGGGCGGGTCCACGGGGTCCTGGGGGGACAAAGGTCAGTGAGGGGTCACGAGGGGTCACTCGGGGTCACTCGGGGGTCAGGGGTCACTCGGGGTCATTTTGGGTCATTTTTGGGGGATTTTTGGGACTATTTTGGGTTGTGGTCACTCGGGGTCACTCGGGGTCACTCGGGGGTCATTTTGGGTCATTTTTAGGGGGATTTTTGTGCCATTTTTGGGTTTTTTGGGTCATTTTGGGTCATTTACGGGCATTTTGGGGTCATTTTTTAGGGCATTTTTTTGCCATTTTTGTGCCATTTTTGGGTCATTTTGGGTCATTTTTAGGGGTTTTTTTTGCCTTTTTTGGGTCATTTTGGGTCATTTTTAGGGGTTTTTTTTGTCATTTTTGGTCAATTTTGGGGGATTTTTGGGTCATTTTTTAGGGGGATTTTTGTGCCATTTTTGGGTCATTTTGGTCATTTTTATAGGTAATTTGTAATTTTTCGGAGATTTTTGGGTCATTTTGGGTCATTTTTAGGGGGAATTTTTGTGTCATTTTTGGTCATTTTGGGTCATTTTTAGGACATTTTTGGGTCATTTTTTAGAGGTTTTTTTTTGCCATTTTTGTGCCAATTTTTGGGTCATTTTTAGGTGTTTTTTTGTGCCATTTTTGGTCACTTTGGGTCATTTTTAGGGTTTTTTTTTGCCATTTTTTATCAATTTTGGGGGATTTTTGGGTC